TTGAGTTGTGTGAGCTCCTCATATATATTGGATATTAATCCTTATTGGATATATGGTTTGCAAACAATTCCTCCATTCCATAAGTTGCTTCTTCGTTTTGTTAATTGTTTCTTTTTCTGTGCAAAACCTTTTTTTTTTTTTTTGGTTGTTACGAGCTTAACAGTATTCTTTAAAGTCATCTCTTTTCTAATTAAATTAACTATATATGGCTTTGGCAATTTGCTGAAAGATGCTGAAAATGCTGAAGGATGCCAAAAATGAAAGACATTGAAAGACTTTACTGCTGAAAGATGTAGCTGTAAATAGTTGAGAGTGAAATCACAAAATGACAAGTATGTTGCTAATTAAAAATACATTTGTAAAAAAATTATTAGTTATCATTTAATACTAACTCTAAGTTTTGGACTAACAGAAAAATGAATATCTAGATGTTACTATAAATTAGTTATTTTTGTCTGGCAAAAGCATTTGACATTAATAGACCTTTAAGAAAATAAAGATTAGATATTTTACAATGAAATTTCCCACAGTTCAAAATGATTAATATTTATTGCCAGATAATAATGTTTCAGGAATTTTTTAAAGTTTATATCATCATTTTAAAATATTCTATTTTTTTCTGAACTTTGTCTTAGTAATTTTGTCTTTTTAAAGAATCTGTGCAAAAAATATTCAATGTCCTTTAGAGTAAAATTTTGTTTGCCTTCTTGTAGTTCAAATAATATGGTGATGGTTTAAATTTCAGTTATAAACTTAGTTGTATAATTAATGAATTTTGAAAATCTCTCCAAAATGTAGAATAAATTTATTAGACCAAAATTAAGGATTTAGAAGTGCCCTCTGCTGCATAAATTGAAGTGTGCAGCATGTTTATGTCCTAATGCCTCCTTGCATAAATAGTCATAAACCTTTTTTATAAAGCTGTATGAAAAAACATCCATGCATCATGTTGCTATTAAATACATTTTTATGAGTTGACCATTCTGTCACTCTCTGACTAAATTGTACCATTTTAAATAATAAAATGCATAATTTTCTTTTAGTAAACTAATCAATGTTATTTTATTAAGATGTGAACGTAAAGAGATAAATAATGCTATAGTTTAAATATTACTAATTTTCCTAAAATAAATACAATTGATTATCTGTTCACTTGAATATACTTTGCAAAATTCTATTATTATTTTGTGAACTGGCTTTGAATACTTAGTCTAAGTTTAGATGGAATCTGGACATAATTATACCTTTAGAGTATATCTATATTTATATGTAACTAAAATTAAAAATTTAGTAGATGGTTTGAAATTTTTTTCTTGAACTTCTTATAAAATCCTTGAGGGAATAGTTACCCCAGTAATTCTGATGACATTTTTGAGGATCAGCATTTATCCTACAGTAATTATAAATCATTTTATGGTAATCTCAGCTTTTTTGCTAACATCATTTGGTTTATTAGCGTGTAATGTTAAAAACTTGATGTTGATTTCTCAACATGCATAATTTTGAATTTGTAAATTTTAAAATGTAGACTTTTCTCATATTTTCCAATATACATTTTATATTAGTGTATTTAGAAATATAATAATTCTAAAAATTAATTTTAAGATTTATCAGTGTTTCCTTCATTACACAATGTAGTTGATTAATATCCTTTAATAAAATCATTTTATTAATTTAACATTTTCCTTTTTAAGATTTTCAATCACTAACAAAAAAATTAACTTGTTCTACTCATGTTATTCTAATAAATCAAAATCATAAATATAGTGATTCTTAAACATACTAATGAAGTCCCAAACAGTACAATTTTGTTATATTTTTCAACTAAATTTACAAGTTCAGGTCAATACTCAATTTCTTTTAAATATTCAAATATGCCTTATTATCCAAAACTTTAAAAATCAAATGCCAAATATAAACTGTATTTTAATGTACAATAGCTTTTACATATTCTTTCTATATTTAACACAAAATGTTAGTGTTTGGCTGTTCATTATTTCTGTACTTAATCCGATTTCTTCACTGTTTCTATATTTAATGTTTTAATTCTTGAAATCCCAAACACAGTCACTCAGGACAAAAGTCATACCGTGGGAAGCAGCTGGGATGTCACCAGCTGGCTGAGTTTGTTTCTCTGTCAGAATTTTTGGCCACGGTTGTTAGCCTGGAGCTTGGACTCCTACAAGAGTGTTCCTAGAACCTAGACTTCTATACTGAGCCTTTCCTTTGTCAATTCTGATGTATTTACTGTGTTAGTAAGGGATTCCAAATTCTGGTCCTATAAACAGTGCTGGTAATTTTTGTAACCCAGGTCTTTTGACATGAAGTTAAGCTGTAACAAATTCTTTTTTATCCCCTTTCAATTTTATGGCTTGATTCATGCAAGTATGATTATGTAACACCTTAATGGGCTGCTTATCCGTCAATTGGATTAAACTAATATATTTGCGGCCTAATTCTACTTTAAATTGCTTTCATACTATTGCTACCTGGAAGATTCATATTTATTATAAGTATGCAAATGGCATTCAATTTTGATTCTGGGTGTGTCTTCTAGCCTGATGGATATGTTCATAAGATCTTTCTAGTGACGTAATTGCTGAAATAGATCCATGTGTGTATCAGCTGATTATAAATAAAGTAAGGCTGTGACTAACAACCACAGACTCTTAGAGGCATGTAACAATCAGGATTTATTGAACTGAAGCCTGTGAGCCACTGAGGTTTGGATACTCTGAACAAGGTCCTGCAGGGGAAACTCAGTTATGATTCAGGGCTCTTTCCTTCCCCCGGGGAGCAATGGGCCAGCATTGGTATGTACTTCTTATAGTAATGGCCTAAATATAAGCAAGTAAGCGCAGCTGCACAAATGCTTTTCAAGCCTTCGGCCGCGTTGCACCCACTGGCATTTCACTGGTAACGTCAGGCACATTTTCTATTTCACCATGTGTTTCACCACTAACTAACACGTATCACTGTTTTACTAATTTCTTATATTTTATCACTGTGTTTTTCCAGCCCCTGTCCACCATCTGGTCTCTAAATTAAGTCTACGTATCTTTCATTTTTGTTCTTGCAGCATCCCCTTTTAAATATCGTTTTCTATATCAGATAGCTTTTGCTGCATTAAAAAGAAAATAATAAAAATCCAGTGGCTTAAGACAACCGTGTGCTTTGCCCAGGTGGCTGCAGGGAACGTCAGGTCGGCTGACCTCCACAGGCCTTGGCTCCTGGGCGAGGCTGGGCTCAGATCTGCTTCATATGTTTATCAGGGGACAGCAGTTCCTGGGAGAAACGGTTTTCACTCTAATGGCTGAGGCATAAGAGACACGTCACCACACAAGTTCTTTTCAGACTTCTGCAATCTGTCACGTTGGCTAATGTCGCGTTGTCAAAGCCTAAAATCCACAGATGGGGAAAGCAGCTCTGTCCACGGACGTAGAGGACAGAGAACGAGTATTTTCTAACAGTAAGCTAGTCTACCACACAGATGAGGACTGGCCATTTGCAAAGGTCAATATATGCTCATAACAACCAGAAATGAGCAATTATTTTCAGTGACTCACTGTAATAGATTTGTGGGCATGGGAACAAAAATCAATGATTGAGATATTAAAGGACTAGATTTTAATCCTAGTTCTGACACTTATTCTATAAATAGAAAAATTAATTTCAATTATTTTAAATAATTGAAATAAAGATCCCAGTGGAATCACTTTCTTCAAACAAAATTGCAAATATTTAAAAAGTGTTTTTATATCTCCAATAAATGACTGACTCCTTAAATTGTTAGGTGGGCTCCTTGGTCTTTCTGTTGTATCAAAGGATTCTTCATTCACATACAGTCACAATGTGAAGTTGGATAAAAACCATGTTAAAATTACAAACATAAATAGCCTCCTATGTAAGAAAACAATAGGAATAAGAGGCATTGAAAAAATGCATGAATAATGCAGGAGAAATCAGGCAGAAAGTCCATTATTTTGCTACTGGCAAAGCTGAATTAAATATGCTTCAGCTACTGTAAAGCCAACTGGCAGAATAGCAAATTAAACCAACTCTAATATTTGTAATTTTTAGTAAGCTGGAGAAAGTTTTCTGTCAGGATGATGATCATATGCAAATATCAAAAATTGGGAAAGTAAAAAATCTAAAAAAAAAACTAAAAAAAAGAAAATTCTAAAATTGAATGCATTCCTAAAATTATTTTTAAATTGTAAGGCTCTTTTGCTTTTAATTTCTCAATTTAGGATGCGCTTATCTTTGGAAAAAGAAATCGAGCGCCTGGAGTCGGCTTTGTCTGTGTGGAAATGGAAGTATGAAGAACTGAAAGAATTAAGGACAACAGACGTGAAAGAGGTACGGAGACATGCGATATAGAGAAAGCACAAAACTGCTTCTCTGTTCAAATGTGTGACCTGGTGCGCAGAAGGCTGCATAGATGAGGGGAAAGGAGGTTAAAAGATTGAATTCTCCCCGTAAGAGGAATATTTGATGTTACATATGAATAGTGGACTCAGTCAAACTCAGGCCATAAGAAATCTTGTTCTATATAACACACTTTAAAAAATTGAACTATATTTGATTTACAATATTGTGTTAGTTTCAGGTGTACAGCAAAGTGGTTCAGTTATATATATATATATGTGTGTGTGTGTGTAAATGTATTTTTTCAGGTTCCTTTCCATGATAGGTTATTACAAGATATAGACTATAGTTTCCTATGCTATTCAGCAAATCCTTGTTGTTTATATATAAATTAACACATATTTTTAACAATCAACCGCATGACACAATTAACCATCCGTTCCAGGCATATGTGAGGGGACAGACAGTTGAACGTGTCATTATATCATAGCATCTAGGATAAACAACTTTTTCTCATTCTTTTATAGAGCAGCCTGAAAGTACTCATTTATCTTAGGTGTATTTTGGTTCTTTGCATTTTGGCATTATAGTTACTTAGGATCAGCCACTAGACTTTGTATGTTTCCTTTGCATTTTCATTGATAAAAAGCTGTCATGAGCACTTTCCATGTCAATGATTTATTAATCTTCATTATTTAAACATATTAATTGTGCATTTTCTGTGCACTAATGCACTGAGCTAGGTTAGTTTATGCGATAGAATAGTGAGCAAAGCTAAGCACACTACTGAGCAAAAATAATGGCAAGCTAAACGCTCTCAAATGAGTTAACGTTTAGTTTGTGTGTGTGCTCTATACGCACGTACATGTGTAAACACACATGTATACACACATGCAAACCGTATGAATTCTGACAGCTGTCTAAAGAAGCTGTGTATCTAAATCCATCATGTCATTGTGCCTTAACCTAAAACTGTCTTCCATCAGTTGGGTAAACAGTGGTAAGTGATGTGCGTCTTGGTTTATGAAGTTCCATATGAATGCTGCTTCAGGTTTGTTTCCAGCAAGTGATAAAGGGTAGAGTTGTGGACTCAAGTTTGCTGAAACCACATGAGGAAGTGTTCAAGAACCTTAGTTGCCAGCACTTGCCTCACTGATGGCTCTCTGTAGGCATCCCAGTGTTCAAAGAGCACAGTAACCATCACCCATGGGTTCGGAACTAGTCAGGTGTGTCGACCCTGTGGACCACTGTGAATTGAAAGGAGGGGGAACTTTCCTAATGCTCTTAGACAAATATCTCCTGCCTAAAAATCATTTATCAATGAAAGGTGATTTCAGTGAGAAAAACTCAAGGTTTTTGGGAACATTTCTCAATGAGGGGGAAATTAAACAAAGCTAACAAGCTAGATAAGTTAATTTCTCACTTATGGACTCATATTATATTGTCAGAGTGCTTTTGTTTCCAGCTTGAAGTGTTGGTATATATATACAATGTGTTCACGCACATTGGTATATATACAATGTGTGCGAATGCACACACATTTGCACTTATATATGGATTCATGGCATTTATATTCTCAGGTGCCATACTGAACATGATGTCTTTGGGTGTGAACGTTGACAGTAAATTAATGTTACACAGGAAAAGTAGTTCCCAACACAAAAATGACGTTATGTTTAGATTATATGTGTATTTTCCTTATAATATAATGAGTTCTAAATCTGACTAAGAAAATTAATTTCTAAGATAGGATTTATCTTCAGTTTAATTAAAATCATGTATTTACAGTCTTTTGCCACTAGTGGGCAGTGCAGACTTGATAACATCCATTTAACATTTCCGAAGCAACGGGAAGCCATGGTTTTTGAGTTGGTTTAAAAAAATCGATATGTATATTTTTAAATGTTTTCTTTTCAAAGATGATATTTTGGGGTTTCAAACTGGTAAATGTCTACTTTAAATTGCTTTAAAACGTTTTATAGATGATAAAAAACAAAACAAACATAGCATTTTACAGTGTAAATTAGGTATATATTTTGATGTCCATGTAGAAATATATATTAATGCATATGTGATCCTTTTACTAGATAAAAGGATAGGGTTTGGGGGACAGAGAAAAACCTCAAAATTGTTGTGGAAAATTTAGTCAACTATTTAAACTTTTGAATGCATGTTTCAGTTAGATGAACTACAACTTTGAACAATGAATGAAAGTGAGAATGAGTGAGAAAAAGTTTTTACTGTAGATGATGGAAAGTTAATTTAACAGAAATTTAAAAAAAAATCATTGCTTGAATTATTTCTGTGATATTATTAAAAATATTTATTTCCACTTCCAGAAAGGAATTTGTGATAGTCATAAAATCTTCTAGATTTTAGAAGATTCTAGAAGATATATGGTAGACACATATATTCAAGCTATGTTTATAAGATATTATGGAATGCTTTACATTTTTTAAACAATAAATAAAAATACTTAGTCACGTGTACTTTAAATATAGCTTTGTTTAATTGTTTTAGAATAGATTATAAGAGAACAAGGATCTTATGGCACATTTAGAAATGGCATTGTACAGTAATTATAGGTGTGAAGTATTCAAAATTCCCATCCAGTGGATTGACAATCAGAAAATATTGTCATAATACATCCTCTGGAACTTCATGTGAATTCTCTTTCTTTCTGTGCTTCTCAAAAATTCTGATCAATGACCTTTCCTTTCACTGTAGTTCTTCATCTATAAAAATCTTTGAGTGCAGTGTAATTCTTCTTTTAGATGCCTGAAACTTACAAACAAATACATGCCTGGCTAAAAGCTCTGGTGGAAAGATTAGCAACAGATAC